AAAAAAGAAAATTTTTATGTGTGATTAGTAACACCGATACCAGATCATTCCGCTAATACTTGTCACAATTATAATCCAACACCATTTTATTAAAATAAAAATGATGTTGGATTATAATTATAACATGTACTAGCGAAATGATCTGGTATTGTAAATTAATTTTTTTATATGGTTCACACCAGGTAAAAGATCAGTCATGTAACTTTGATGGTTCCTCATGTTAGAAAAGTGGTACAATAAACTCATTCATGATGTGTATATATATTTGTACAAATAAAGTACAAAAATGTGAACCAAGTTCAGGAGTTAGTGCACCACAATACAGCAATAGATTGAAAGAATTTGATCTTTGATTGCCAATTCTATTTTAAAAATACTAAACGAATTTTAAATTTATAATATTAGTTGCTAATGCTAACACATAAAATTCTTTATGATTACATAAAAAGATTCAATTTATGGGCTTTGCCGACCAAATTCGTGTTTCAATCAAATTCGTATATTTTGATCCATCATTGATAACCCGCAATCTAGTGATTAAATCTTGTTTATTTTGATACCATTTGAATCCTCTCAGTAAGAGGATTTAAATAGTATCAAAATCATCAAGATTGAATCATTATATCGCAACTTATCAATGATAGATCAAGATATACGAATTTGATTGAAACACGAATTTGGTCATAACATTGTTATAAACTAGGAAAATGCGTAGCATTATTAGACCCGGCGCATATCATATGGTGACATAAACGAGTGAATATGCATATTTTGTTATACTAAATTAACAAATTTGAGCATGATGTATCTAAGAGCTTTCGGGAAATTTAGGAAGAGACGCATCAAAAAAGTCACTAATCTTGGTCAAAATGCATCAAAAACGTAATTATGCATAGAAAGTAATAGACCCTCCGCTACGATCCGGGTCAATTACTTTTATAATCCATTTTCTTTATTTTTATTATTCTTATATCCTTTCATTTTTGTTGTACGTACTAATTAAAACTAAGCTTTAACCCTTGTTTGTTTCGAAATATTTCTACTGCAGAATTAAAAAAAATTTATTGAAATGGGAAAATCAACAACTTGTACATTAATGAAGAATCGTATAAACTTTTTCAAAATGTTTGACTAAACCTATAATAAATTAACTTATCAATATATTATCTACTATAGCGAATTAAACTAACACGTATTTACTTCGCACAAAATGCCAAAACAGGATTGTTGATGAAATGCCAAGAAGCATTATTGACGTATTCTAATATAGATTTTCGGAGAATTAATACTCATTCAGCCGACAACTTTGGTACACATTTACGGAGGCCTAAAATTTTATATTTCTACAATAATGGTTTTAGCATTTGTATTAAATTTAATAGTAATGCATTCCGTGCTATAAGAAAATTAAATTTACAATCAAATATGAAGATATGCTTATTGTACTTAAAATTATTTTTGAAGAAAGAAAATTCTGGCTTTGTTATTAAATATCAAGCTCACTTTATTACTTAAAAATTTTTTATATAAAAATTATTTCATTAATTATATTGGTAATAATATAATAGTTATTTATTAATAAAACTCAGACATTATGCACAGTTTATATACATACGTATACCAATTGTATCAAATTTTGTAGCATGATCTGAAAATTGAAAAATTTATAAATTGATTCGGTAATAATTGTATGTCTAATAATCACAGAAGCAACAAGAGACTTGGTTTTTTTTTACAAATAAACCAACACAATCTGTGCAAATTCAATGAGGTCTTTTATTACTATGTAATCAAGAATGATCAAAAAAAATAAAAGAAACAAACAAATAAAAAAAAATTAGACAGAATTTAATGAACAAATATATATGTAAAAAAGTAATATGAATTTCTAATAATTTTAAGTAAAATAAAAGTTTGTGTTATATTGTATTTTTTATATACTAAATGCTAAGCTTTTAAAAAAATTTCCTGGATAAATATATTTTCAATGCCAGGTTATGCTAGATGGCGATTTTTTTTTATATGTAATTTGTCGCAAATATTCCTTGTAATCTGATTCATAAGTTTCTTGTAACTGAATAGTACCTTAAGTTATGCCAGTGGTTCTGGTTTGACGACTTGATGGCGTTTTATAACATTCTTCTGAATAGTAATTATTTTGTGTTATGTAAAGATCTCGTGAATAACTGCTAGTTGGTGTAGAATAAACATCTTGACAAGAATAATATTCAGGCGTTGAATAAACTTCTTGTAGTTGATAGCTTGTTGATGTTGCGTAAATTTTTCGTGATTGATAACTTTTAGATTTTGCTCGAGTTTCTTGCAATTCATAAGTCGTTTGATGTGTGTTTGCTTGCACAAGAGCTTTACTTTCTTTACAACGCCAACACTTTTTGAAATAGCCATACCATACTTTATATCGTGAAGATAGCAATAAGGCATCGTATAGTTTGTCCGTATTGTTTGTCCGTAATCGGTGTTAAATTATAAAATTCATAGTTTGAATGTATTTATATTTCACTGTGACGGAGTGAAACTCCGATATTATCCTGCTTTATGTTGTCAAATGGACTTTCAAACTAGAAAATCAGTTTGTAAATTTTTAGGGCCCAAAAAGGTAAAATAATTACATACGTATAAGGGCCCTGTTTTGGGAAATTTTACTATATCTCATGCAGTGGACGAAATTTGATGGTTTTGATACCATTCGAATCCTCTCGTCAAGACGGATCGAATTTTCTAAAATTGCTAAATTTAAATTACAGGATAACAAGATATCACGATTTAAACAGATTTTAGAAAATGTTGAATAGCTCGTAATCCAGTAATTTAAATTTAGTAATTTTAGTACTATCCGATCAATCTTGACGAGACGATTCGAATGGTATTAAAATCATTAAATTTTGCTCACTGTAACATGAGATATGGTAAAACATTCTAAAATAGGGCCCTTATATGTAATTGTTTTACTTTTTCGGGCCCTTATATGTAAATTCCCAAATTTTTATATAGTAAAATGTGTAACGATAATGTTCATTCACATCAATCTTACTTTATTGACATTGTAGGAATTCTATTAATCAATTGTGAATTTTATTCATTCTATTCTATTGTTCTATTGATTAATTTTTAATAATAAATTATATATTATCGCTGTTTGCAAAATGTTGTATTTGGATCAAATTTTGCAGAGGCATAGGTCATGGTGCAGCCAGAACAAAGTTTATGTAAAATTCTACCAATCAAACCACAGACTCCTATTAAGTAAAAATCTTCTCAGGCCAATTTAACTGTGAAAGCAGTCCAATTTTTTTAGATTCGGGAAATTGAAATTTTGATTTCCAGCCAAGTTATAATCTTCAGTCTGAATTAGATAAATGCTGGCCAATCAAATTGAATTACGTCACTACACCTTGGGGACGCCCTGGATGGTCCATCATATATATAATCACCCGATTGTGAGAATAAGTTATTATGAGGATATGAATTTTTATTAAATCACTAAAATCGACGATCGTGCAAAGTTTGATATTACACTTCGCAAAATTGTGTGACCCCTATGGTTATTAATTTTTTTATAAATTATTGCGATTGTGATTGCGATTATAAAGCTGGCCAATTTATTATAAACTTGGATTTTGTTAAGCTAACACAAAGCTCAGATTTATTATAATTTGGCCAGCATTATCGCAATCACAATCACAAACATTTTATAAAAAAATTAATTATCATAGGGTTACACAATTTTACAAAGCGCAATAATACTTTTCAATACTGTTGATCAGTAAATTCTGTGTCGCACCGGGAATCAGGAAGAGAAAAAAATTCAAACCTATGGTTGGCTAAAAATTATTTTATTGATTTTTTAACCAATCATATACGTACGTATTTGCTTATTTCCTAGATTCCTGTGATACATGAAACTTGCTGATAATAGTATTTAAAAGCACTGTAAATTGATTTAGCTTATGTTAAATGTGTTGAAAAAGTATCTATGGCAATAAATTTGCAGTTTTCATTTTATACTCGTACAATAATTTAAATATCGATATAGACTATTAAATTTAGATCTTCTATTTAGAATTTCAAAGATTTTCCGTCATCATGAAATACTCGAACAATATATTTACTAATTTAAATATCGATATAGGCTCTTAAATTTAGATCTTCTATTTAGAATTTCAAAGATTTTCCGTCATCATGAAAGTTACGATTTCACACCTCGCAAAACCTTCATAAAATTTTGAATAAACTATCACGCACAATTCTCAAACCATGTTCTAAAATAATGATATTTAATGTCTGGTTCCATGGAACCTTATATTATTCAGATTGCACAGATAGATTTATTGTAAAAATAATGTAGAATTTTTATGATAACTTAAAACATGTAACAAATATTTTGTCATTATTCAGCAATGGGCAATTGCAAACTTTTTGCCCATGTCATAATGTTCACCATCTTTAGCAAGTATTTCAACTTTACTCCGCTTTTGGAACACTAGACAAACGTCAGATCCACCAAACTGAAAATAACCTATCTCATCCCCTTTCTTCAATTCGCCCCCTACCTTAGTAGAGAGGATCACGGAAGACACTTGAGCCATACCGACTGGTAAAACAGCCACTTTTCCAACTTTTGGTGAATCGATTATAACAAGACCGCGAGCCTGGCAGAATTGATATCCCGGAGGATCCGGAACATCGAGTTCATCTTTTCTTAAAAATTTTCGACTAGGTCTGAGTATCATTTTACCTTGGGCATCTTTTTTAACAGTAACATCGCAATAGGCCTGCCCTGGAATGACCTTAGCTTCGATCACTATACCATCAATAGGAGCATGCACACGATGATAGTTGTAAGGTACAAGAAATGAATGCATAAATATTCCACCGACAAATTCATCTTTGTACTGACTGTTTGCAAGCAGCTCGCCAATGGTCCAGGGGATTTCTTTCAAAACGACAATTGAATCATCATTGATATCCCAGGCACCATTGAACGTCGAGTCTGCGGGACTTACGATGACCGCTGGATCGGAAGGGCTGTCGATGGGTCGGGCACCTGGTAAGAGTTTTCGCGCAAAGAAATCGTTGAAAGAATGCCAACCACCTCTGGGAGCCTCGTAATTGCTCATGGTGTAGCTCTCCGTATCATAAAAAGTCCGTAGAGATTCCTCGGTAAGTGATTCAGGTGTATTGAGAAATTGTCCTAAAGCACAGGAAAAATAGACTATCCATTGCGATAACTCCGTCAATGGTGGTGGTGGATACGAAGAAGGTTTAATGGGTGACTGAAGCGATCTGACAGATTTTTGATCGAGTACATAGTACATAATGCTTATCATTTTGTGAGCGAGAGTTCCATTTTTATTCTCTACAGGCACCCAAAACAAAAAGTAATGAAGATAATTGTAGTAGTCAGCCAAAGTTTTTATATTAGTCATTTCTTCGACGCCTGAATTATAAGCGTCAGAGACCGCCTTCTCAAATTTGTCCTCCCATTTATTGCGTTTAATCATGTTCATCAGCCCCTGAACCATTGGATGATAGGTTGCAGGAGTAGGAAAAGGTCCAAGTACATGTTCAGACATGGTTGATTTTTTTTTTTTTTTGAGATATATTGAAATCGAAATTTTTTTTAAAAAGGCAGGACAAGGCTCTTTAAATAATAAATTATGAAAGTTATGAAAATGTGATGTTAATTACTAATTATTGAAAAGTTATCTGCTAGTCGATATTTATCGATACGCCTATTCCTAATTCAATTGGTGGCTGAAAAAAAAATTACAATGCGGACAGCATAAACTATAGGTGCAGAAATATGATCGATGACGTAACCTTTTTTGTAGCATCCACATCGTGCCCGGTACGCCAAAAAGTCACAACTGACATTTTTGTAATGTTAGATAAATGCCGTAATATCGACTTATGTCTTAGCTTCAGGTATGTTATCCGATGATTCCATTCATTCGTTATATGAACTCTTTATATTATGAATACTAAAAAATGAAGTTAGACTCAACCGCTTCGTTCGAAATTCTTTTAAAATAGTGAATTTATTAACATAATAAAATTTTCTATAATGGGTTATTCACTAAAATGACTTATAAATTGCTCATTATTATATAATATATTATAGAATGTAAATTCTCAACAAAAAAATTGTATAATACATGGTAAGATAAAGGGTATTAATTGGAAAATTCCCAACACCCTTTTATTTAAAGATTCAACTTGTAAATTACGTAAATATTTATGAGTGCCATCAAGGTGAAAACCTGCCATCGGGTTTTGAATATAATTTACCGATAAACATGAAACCCAAGAAGTTAGTTATTTTCAAAAAGTTGTAAGCAAAGATGCACCACTATATTGTGGGAAATCACATGATTCTGCTAATAAGGGAAATTGTGCCGATTTCTTATGATATAATGGTACGCACCTGCCCTGCTTACACCTTTTTGAAAACAGGTGTAAATTACGTTAATAACATTTCATTTCAAGAAAATTATTATTCTATATTACTAGAATATGTCACATATGACGGCTATTACAATATACGCTGTTATGACACTTTGATGTAACTCTCATCTTTTTTACGTAAATATACGTCACTAAATTACTAAATTTTTAACTCTGATTGGCTAATTTTATATAATCTGTTATTAGTTAAAAATAACTACTTTTTTTATATGTAACGCCAAATTTTCAAATTAATATAAACTAAATTGATATAACTTCTTAAATCCTTTTTTAGTAAAACTGCAACTTAGACTTAACGTTAAAGCTACAAATCAGCTAAAAAAGGTTAAAAAAAATTTTTTAAGGTACTGATCGATGCGTATTGATTTAGGTAATTTTCTATAGTAAATTTCAAGCCTTGCTTTTTTAAGATTATGTATACTCCATGGCGTGTACGTATTACCGGTTTTATGTTAGACAGTGATTTATACTCGGGTATTTTAAGTATTATATATTTTATATCGATATGTATAATACCGGGTAGATATGTTATGCGTCATCCATTATTAATTGACGTACGTACGTATGTCATTTTTCAATTCTCACCGATTGAAAAATGACCCGAGTTGTAGAATTTTAATATTTTTTAATGCAGACCATAACAGAACAGACTTATCGTATAATAAAATTTTGAAATTATATTAAATAAATAAAGATAAATAAAAGCAAGTACGTACAATAAATTGAATTAAAGTGCTTCTCTTATTGTTACGTATTTCATTTTTTTCTTCATCAGCACCTATTGTCATGGATTCCTGAACTTATAGTTTTTTAACCCGTAAAGCCTTTAAGCGAATATTAGATACTCTTATTCAATTGATAAACAAAAGTTTGATGCATAGAAATTGTTTCGACAAGTACTTAGATATTCAAACTCATAATATTCTTTTAAGTAAAAAAAATCGATTTGCATAAAATTTTATTTTTAACAAAAAATACTGTGCAAATCATGATCGTAATATTGGATTAAGCCAGGAACCTCTTCTACTTGTTGTTGCCGAACGAACTGCAGTTCCAATTTATGCACCTGCCGAAAAACTATTCATTATGCTCAAGAAGATGTGAATATGTGTTAATTTCATCAAATATAACATATAATTATATAAATTTGAATATGTTGTATATATAAATTTAGGTTTTAAAATTTCTAAATGCTCTGTAATAAAATTTTTTATTAATTAAATTGAGAAATGACGCATAACAGATGTACAGTAATAAACCATGTCTGTCTCTACCACTTAGTAGAAGGTTGGAATATTATTACTTAATAATCAAAAATTGTAAAAATGCTTGTAACTAAATTGTATTCTGTGATCTTGTAAATTATCTAGAACAATAATTATTATAATGCAGCCGAAATAAAACATGCCTTTATAGTGATAGTCACTAAATTAATTAAGGGTAACTGTGTGACACGCGATGACGCACAGGACCAGTACGATTAGATGCGATATAATATTTAATAACGACATACGTAACACTGGTCCGTAATTCATATTTATATCTATTACCGGTCTAATTTTCTTTTATCCTGAAATTTTCAAAGAAATTTAAGACCTTTTTACTTAGTCCTCAGAGTTTTTTAAATATGTCTTTAATCATCAGAGAATCGTTATAGCAATAATTTTGAAATCATGACATCAAAAGATTTTTCTCGATCGAGAAGAACTGTACGCATGTAATATGCAATCCAGCACAAATAGCACTGGATGTTAAAGCTTTATTAAATTGTTTTGAAGAGATACATAGTATATGGGGTGTTACACATTAAAACAGCCCATTTTACTTGTAAATCATTTTGTGTAAATCGGATTTAAATGATGGTCTACAAATAGTAATACATGTGAAATTTTTTATTTCGTTCATTTTTGTGAATTGACAAACTTTTTTATTGAATAATTTTCTATTTAAAAATTAAATAAAACATATTTTAATACTTCATATATCTGTGAAATTGATGTATAATTGAAAGAGATATAGTATACATCAGTGCAATTGATATATGATCGAATGAATATATAGCATACATCAGTGCAATTGATGTACAGTATAATTGACATTAGCCAATAGTTTGCTGCCCGCATAACGCAGGTTGGCTATTAACTAGAAGCTTTGTAATCTATAAATTTTAGCAGTGATTTTTTACTTGCATAAAGCAGGCCAACTATAAATATTGTTAGTGGCAATAGGTCACAACACAGACCAATCAATCACTACCTAAAAACACAACACAACCAACTCACATCTCATGATATACTTAATTGTAAAGATAATTACAATTTGGCAATGTAAGGTGTAACAGGTATATCATATAGACAAAACAAACCAATTTTGACTGCAAGTACACTACTCACTATCATTTCTTTTATTAGATATCAAAAAAAGCCTATTTTTATAATGAATTACATATGGGAAGAACTAATCTAAGCCTGCAAATCAAAGTATGTCACTTTTGGCTTTGCTTGGCTTTCTGTTTACAAACAGATAACTTTACCATGGGCTTACTTCTGCAGCCACATCCCGGGGCTTTGTGAGAATGATTTCTCCCATAATTTCTTCATGACTTTAGAAACTTTGTATTAGAGCTTTTATTAATAAATTTTGAATATAACAAATAAGAAAATTTACTAGTTTCTAGCTATGATATGTTTTCAAATAATAATTGTGAAGACAAATATAATATAATAAACTAATTTCTAATCACCTTTATGAGTAATCTAATTTAGATTTACACATTCTTTTCTTTTTTTATTTTGACTTTTGGCTCTTTGCCTTTACAGTATCTTGATTTTTTTTACTAGCTAGATAAACTAATAATTACAGAAAATCAAAAGTAATGCTTGGCAAAATCAAACAAAAACTCAATTATTGAGTTTTTTGAATCTATAAATTTACAATATTGGGAATTAAATACAAATTTTATTTTTAGAATATATATAAATCTTTATACATAATTGCTGCGAAATTCGATAATCACATTTAGACAAAAAATGTAATAATTGGATTGTAAATCTAACAGAATTAATATGTAATGAATTAAAATCTAACCAAAAAAGAAGAAATAATCTAAATCAATATTACAATCTTTGTGTAATTAAAATTTATTAAATTTATACGAATGTGTATTATTTGAAGAAGTTATTTTTTTATGTCTATATTATATAATATAAAAAATTATCGACTCTCAATTTATAATATATAAATATGACGATATGATAATATAATACATATATTTAATAAAAAACATCGCAATTTATGATATGTAAATATGACAATATGATAATGCAATTCATATATTTAATAAAAAATAAAGTTATTGTTACTACTTAACAATGCCAGTAGAAAACTAAATAGGGTGCGGACAATAGAAACAGCCCATTTTTTCAATTTTTTGAAAAATGAGTTTTTATTAGATTCATATAAATTTTGACATGATTGACATTTTTCAATTATAAATGAAAGTCGATTCGCATAATAAAAAATCGAGATAATGTAAAAGAAAAATTGCATGAGGCTACATAGGGCCAACACATCACAATATTACCCGATAGTCTACTGTTACCTTTAACTAATCAAAATCATGAAATTTGATTAATCCCGGATCAGTCCGAAAATCAAAACAAATGATTAAACTCAGTTATCTCAAAATAAGATAAATGTAAAAATGGGCTGTTTCTATTGTCCGTACCCCAAATAATTAGTACAAGTTTCAACACAACAATAAGTTATATTTAAAAATGTGATTAGTCATAATCTTATAAACATAATAATAATAACTATGTAAGATTTATGATTTTTCATATATACAACAATTAAAAGCGACAAAAATATTGTCATCTATATTAAGAGAATTTTTTTAAGAAAGGAATCAAAAAGAAAAATCAAAGAAAAAAAATTGATAAAATGATCAAAAATATAATAATAACATGAAAACATAACCGAATCTACATTTATTTAAAAAAAAAAGATTATTAATGATAAACAGCATAGCAGCGAACAATACTCACTATTGGAATAAAACTACCACAGATGGCAATAATAGTGATAATAACAATAATCACTACTGGTGGAAAAACACTATCAGATATGTATGAAAATAGTCAACCACATGAATACACACCTAAATGGAAAATGCTATATTCTACTTGTTGGCACAACTTTTACCATCAGAAAGAAAAAATTTCTGTTGTAATCCTGTACTAAGGTACTTAATACCACCTTTACGCCCATTACCACTTTCTTTATATAATCTTTATATATCTAATTCTCAAGAAAATTTTAGTCATCTTAGTCATCAGTACAATTCACTGTTTTTATTTACAACACTTGGTTATACAGGTGGTGTAGTTCACTTACAACATCCTCATACTTTTGCTATCAATAGCCAGGCATACTACCAAATTCATTCTACTAACATGACAGGAAACCCAGTAAACTGGTTTGTGTTTGATGCTGATGCATATTACAAATCAATATAAGCTTGATAAAGATAGTGTTAATTTAATTGAGCAAGAGTTAGCTACTATTAATCCGTTTGTTCAAGGTTTATACCAATTACGTGATACAAGCTATCCCAAGCTAGATTAGTAATTCAACAACCAACAGCAAATGTTGAAATTGCGGCATGTGTAATTGTTCAATCAACGGCAATAGTATAAGAGAGATGTGTTTAAATTTGGTATATTAATAAGGAAGAACCTAAATATATTAATATTCTTAATGAACACTATAAAGCACTACAATATCTACTTATTTTCCCTTTTGGAAAAATTAGATGGCGTATGTACTGGATAAATAATGAAAATTTCACTAAACATAAAATTTCACAAATTGATTATTATTACTACCAAATTATGACTGAACCCTGTTTTTATCTATGTAGATAACTATTCAATGAGTATCTGGTAGACATGTTTAGTAGAGTAGAAGATGAACGATTACAATTTATTCATAAGGAACAATATAAATTCAGAAAGAAGATCAAGAAAAAGATAAATCGCTTAGCAGTATAGCAGAATTACACCCTGAGAGTGTTTATTTACCAGCTTCTCACACGCTTTCATTTAGATAGTCATACAAAAAAACTATGGATGCTCTTGCAATTGTAAGTAAACTTGGACATCCAACACTATTTATTACCTTTACAATGAATCCAAATTGGCCAGAAATCCAACAACAGTTACGTGATGGGCAAAACTATACAGACCAGCCTAATATTGTGGTCAGAGCATTTAAACAATACTTAATATACTTACAAAAATTGCTTAAAATACATTTTGGTAAAATAATTTATTACAGGAATGCTGTTGAATTTCAAAAGCATGGTTTATCACATGCACACATAATAATTAAATCAACACCAAACCTAATTCAACCTGGAGATATTGATAAAGTAATAAGTGCAGAAATACCTGTAGATGAAAATATTCAACGTAATTGTCTTCATGAATTGGTAAACCAATTTATGATCCACCAATGTTCTCAAAGATGTATACGTCATAACAAATATCATTAGAATTATCCTCGACCAAGACAGAAAATACTATAATTAACAAATTGGGATATGTTAGTTATCGGTGATGAACTGAAAATGATATAAATGTTGTGTCATATAATGCTCTTCTACTATTAAAATTAAATTATCACATAAACGTAGAAATAGCTTCTACTTCTTATGTAATTTCTTATTTATACAAATACATCTACAAAGGACCAGATCGGGCAACAGTCAATGTTTATATGGAAGATGAACCTGAAATTATTGATGAAATCAATGACTATCTAAATGCATATTATCTTTCTGCTATGGAAGCACAATAATCTATCAATATTACAATGGTATTTTCTTCGACCTGAAAACTCAGAATTCGAAAACCTCAAGTACTGTGAATATAATGAACTATATCACTTCAAATATATTGAACAATCATATGACCAAAATTTATTACCTCTAAACACTTATTTAGAAAAAAAAATTGAAGAATATTATCAACGAATTGTATAACCATATAAACAAAACTATATATATATAACATGAATGAATATAATTCGTTCATTAGTAGGCAAAATATATTATCTACATATGCTTTTGAACTGCCATGCAGCACAATCTTTTAAAGATTTACAAACAGTAAATGGAAATTTATATTCCACATTTCAAGATGCTACACATGCTTTGGGTTTACTAGAAAACATAACAGAATACGAACAATGCTTTAATAAAGCCATGTCTTATAACTGTGCTCCAGGACAACTCTGCCTGCTATTTTGCTGGCTTATTATAGAAGGCATAGCAGCTCAAACGATATGGCAAAATCATCATGAACTATTATCCACTGATTATATAGCTAAAAAGAGAAATACGCAAGAAAGAGAAAATGAAGCTCTAATGTGGATTACCAATTTTTTAGAAGAGCATGGTATTAAAATAACACAAACAGGCTTGCCACAACCATCAAATTATTTATCAGAAATAATACGCATTAAGACACAATAGTAACTATGAAGAACTAACCGCAAAACAAAAAAAAATGATTTGCAAATTAAATTTGGAACAAAAAATAATATATCAAAAAATTATAGATCACATAAATAAAAATATACTTTTAGCAATTTTTATTAATGGTCAGGCAGGCTATGGTAAAATATTTTTAGTAAATGTTATTTGTATTACAGTAAGAAGTTTAAAAAAAATAATACTTCCCTGTGCGTCAACCGGATTAGCCACGCTAAATTATGACGGAGGTCGAATAGCACATTCATTGTTTAATATTCTGGTAGAATCTGGTGAAGAAGGTTATAAATATCAAATAAATCAAATAGTGAACATGCAAAACTAATTCAAGAAGCATCAGCAATAACCTGGGATGAATTAACTAAGGTACAAAAAGGCAATAGATATACTTTTACATGAACTTTGTGACCATAACTTACTATTTGGTAGAAAGGTTTTTATTAGAATAAGAGATTTTTGTCAAGTTGCATGTGTAGTACCGAATACTGGAAAAATAGCTACAATATTAGAATCAATCAAATCATCTACAATATAGAACTCATTTAAAGTGTTTAACCTTCAACAACCAATTCAAGATGCAAATGATCCTGAATACTCTAAGTTTATGGATAACATAGGTGATGGTATAAATGGCGAAAATATAACTTTATCTTTATTAGACAAAACACATGAATTAGATAAAGCTATTAATTTTGTTTTTTCACCAGACATATTAAACAATCAAATTACATGCCTACAATATGCTATACTCTCTACATTAAATGTAGAAGTAAATTCTATAAACAATACTATTTTACAAAGATTAGAAGGTGATACTGTCAGTTTATATAGTTCTGACAATCTAACAGATAATAATACCAACAGCACTATATATCAAAATCAAAATATTCAAAGAAATATAATAAATATTAAACTATTAAACTCACTCAATTCATCTGGAGTACCTACACACTGTCTTAAATTAAAACATGGTTGTATTGCAACAATAATATGAAATCAACGATACGTGATGGCTTATGTAAAAATACCAGAGTTATAATATTAAATATTGGTCACTAATTAATTACTGTACAAAATCCAGTAACACATTCTATTGCACACATACCTCTAATAAACTTTATATTTCGAATTCTGCATTTTCCTTTTAAAATTAGCTACCACCAGTTTCCTTTATGTCTCGCATATTCTTCAACATTCAATTCTTCACAAGGACTAACATTAAACAAAATAGTACTTGACTTACATACTTCAGTATTCAGTCATGGCCAACTTTATATAGCTCTCACACGAGTACATCAAAGAGATTACACACTAATACTTACTGAAAAGGACAATTCATCAACCCTATTTACTACTAAAAATATTAATTACTTGAATAATAATTAAAAACTTAACATAGATTATTCAACCATTTATCATTTACAATATATTAAATAAAAAAAACCAAATTGCGCATAAACACTCGTTAACCAAACTATATATTCTTTAACTGCCTTAATAATAATAATAATATATATAAAAAAACATTATGTACAATACAAAAATACCAAATAATAATAATAATAATAATAATAATAATAATAATAATAATAATAATAATAATAATAATAATAATAATAATAATAAATAAACATTCATTTTTTTTTTAAAAGCAATATTAGAATCACTAGATTTCAGACTATTACGAGTAGAATGACCCTCTTATTGTTGATATTATGTTGTTAAATAGGATTTTTTAGACATATCTTCTGTCTCACCACTTCTAACATTTTCACTATCAAAAATCTCATCTGAATGAAAATAATGAGAATCAACATTATCAAAAATTTCATCAGATTTCTCAATCTTTACATGTTTTGAAGAAAAATCTTTATCTGCCACGAAAGAACCACATTGAGTATTACCAGTGATGTTACTTGAAACAATAGAATGTGAACCTTCAGCATCAGAAATACTTTTTGAATCTTCAACGATATTACAATAAGTAAAAAGAATCTTTGCCCAAGTTGAATTAGTATCTTTAGCTAAATTATTCGAATCGGCATTATCGATACTTGACTTAGAAGGAAACCATGTATTAATATAATTAATCTCTTTCGCACAAACAAAAAAATCATTAGCAATGACTTCCATCTGCCCAATAATAAAAACAAGTGAACTTTGTTGCCGGATTGTAATTTTCAGATTAATGAACTGCGGATTAAGATGTGAAAAAACTATCTTAACAAGAAAACTAACTTCTTGACCAATATAATTGTTAACCAATACTTTAAAAATAGCATTATCATCATTCCTTAATATCTGAGATACTCTTGAGGAACTCCTACCAGAAAAACCCTTAACAGACACTTATTCAAATCCTCAGCTTTACTGAGAATACTTATACCAGTTGAAATAGAAACTGTCATCTAAAAATAACCAAAAAAATAAGTCCAGATAACAAAAAAAATCCAAACCTAATTAAAACTAATATCTTTAGTTTTTTGATACCATTATAATACCCAGGCACAATTTTACCACCAACAAAATAAAAACGATCTCTTTCAAAAAGAACTTGAGTCTCTGGATCACACTCAACAGAATTAATAAGTAAAAACAAAACCAATTCAATTTCACTCTCTTTATAATCAACCAGATAAGTCCCAACAGCCCACAAAACTCTACAATTATTTTTAATCTTCCGCCTCTGACGAACGTATTTAATCCTAACAATAGTATCTACATAACATGGTATGATAAAACTTAATGTATATATAAAAATTTAATTTATCAAAACAATCAAAACAAATGCTACTTATAAAGAAAAAAAAATATATCATAATAAAAAATCACTATAAATGATAAATTAATAATAAAATAATAAAATAAACTGATACAAAAAAAAAAAAAAATAATGACACAAATATATCAGAAATTCCCCACCAAATGTAGTCATAATTCAAAAACTCTCTATATACATATATCATTCCCTAATACTCAATTCCCATAAAAAAATATAAAAATAAAAATACATCAAAATGACTACCGTACTAACCTAATCAAACATATAAGTGCCACCAAGAAGACCTGACGTCAAACCTGAACTATATATTATACGTATCTATTACCCCGTTAATTAAAAATCAATAACCTTACCATAAACAGTTAATAATAAACAAAATTAAATTTAAACTCTGATAACAAATTTTCCCATAACAACAATTATTTATGAACAATTACTATATAAAAATTTTTACAACACATAACAATAATAATGAAATTAACAAATTAACTAAACAAATATATAAAAAAAATATTAATAATTCCAGTATAAACTAACCCAACAAACTTGCAAAAAATAACTGTATAAAGATAGGTGGCGCAAAGCGCCACTCATCGAACTAGTCACAATATAAAGTTCTTGTATTGCTATCATGGCCATGGAGCCTAATTATAATATAAAGTTTTTGTACTGTGGTTATAGTTTCAGAGCTTAATCACTAAACATAAGGTTCTTTACTGCCTGTGGCAGCCATAGAGCCTAATCACAACATAAAGTCCTTGTATTGCTATCATGGCCATAGAGCCTAATTATAATATAAAGTTTTTGTACTGTAGTTATAGTTGCGGAGCTTAATCACCAAACATGAGGTTCTTTACTGCCTGTGCCAGCTATAGAGCCTAATCACATGAGATCCTTACATTGCTATCACATTCACAGAGCCTAATTACAATATGAGATCCTTGTACTGCTATTATCAAATATGAGGTTCTTAAACAGCTTGCTACAGCTATAGAGTCTAATCACAACATGAGGTTCTTGTATTGCTATCGCAACTATAACTACAGTACAAAAACTTTAT